TTTCAAGCTCAAGTCATAGCACAGCAATCAGTTATTAAAATACTATTGCTGCTGGAGTGCACTGAATGACCAGGCTTTTTTATCCTGCCAAGAAACTGAAGTGATTTCTGGGAACTCTCTTTTGGGAAATTGTCTTTGCATTGACTTTCTCTTTTATGACATAGAATATGTTTGGGATTTTCACACCCTGACCTGCTTTGCTGCTTACTTTAGATGATTGCCTATAGGTGATGGAAATCCTTTCAGATGTTTTGACCAATGGCTGTGTATCTAGACTTTCACTCATTTTAATTTGCTTGAAAAAGGATTTAACCTTCACGTCAGGCATCCATCTGAACTTAATCCAAAGATTCAACCATGTGACTTAATATAAACAACTCTGTCAAGTTATTTTTCTAAAAGAGGCTAAATTATACGGAAACTTGTTTCCACCATGGAATAATAAATAAATAAAAAGTAATTGCAACTTTTTATCTTACAATTCTGACTTTTTTTCTGAGTTTATATTTTTACAAGTCTGATAAAAGTCAGAATTGCTAGTTATAACCTCAGAAACGTGAAAAAAATTGTTCAGATTTGTGAAATATAAACGTAAATTTTCAAGGGGAAAAAAGTTCAAATTGAAAGTTTTAAACAACTTTTTAAACTTTTTAAGTTTTAAACTTAACTTAAAAATAAGTCTGAATTGTGAAATATAAATTTGCAGTTGCGATGGGGGTGAAATGTCAGAATTGTAAGATAAAAAGACAAAATTATCTTTGTTTATTTTTTATTTCATTGCTGTTGTTTATCTCTGTAGCACAATAATACAAACACACCTGGGACATGAGGGGAAAAAATTACCGGAACAAATTTTCATTTCATTATTGGTTCTCACACTTGCATTCAATGCAGATGAAACACCATAAAATACAGTGTTTAGCCCCCTTATAATTAGTCAGATTTTCGAACAAATTACTCGATGTTATTTAGCAATTAGCATTTGCTTATTAATAAAATGAGTCAATCATTTCTGCAGGACTAAAACCAGCGCTTACAATTTACAGTTATGTTGCACTTAAGACCTATCTGATTTGAAGCATTGTAATGGTTGTTACATATGACAGTGAGTAGTTACAGTTTTTTTGTAAGAATAAATGTATAAAATATGTCATCACAATATGTTTTAGTATCTTTAATATAGTTAGCCAATTATTGGATTTCTTTTACATTGTCTCTAAGAGGGAAACAAAGCATGAATACAAATTTTGCAAGAATTTTTAAATATGTATTTATTATTGAAATGACCTCAATTGACAAAGGAATTGTCATTATTTGTTCCATCCTTAAAGGTGCTCTAGTCTAAGCGATGTCGGGTGACGTCACTTTTCTTGTTGACATTTAAATTATTGTCAAACAAAACGGAGGCTAGCTAGACCCTCCCTCCTCCTCATCCACGCACTAACCCCCCAAACCCCCAAGTCCTTCTTGTCGGTTATTGGCTGGAAAAGTTTGTTATGATTCGTGGAGCGGGTTGCAGCAGTTTGTTTTTGTTGCCGTTTGTGGAGCCTGGGTTGTCTGCAGAGACCGCGTTTTTTTTACAGTGTGTTCAGGGGACAGGCAGCTAGCGGATAGTGAGGAGATGTTTGATGAATGTGACAAAAAAATGTTTTGGCCTAAAAAACGCGTGACATTGCTTAGAGCACCTTTGATCGTCTCAGAATCTATATATAAATGTGGGCGGTCATGTGTTCACTGTACTCGTGGTTTGGAATGACTTGGGTAGACTGTATGTGTTATGTATTGTTTTTCATTCTATCCTTCTGGGTCTGTTTTCTCATCTTGCTGGTACATATATTGTATGGTCACTGCCTCCTTTATTCCAGAGACATGTGTTTGGCATTGAGACTGCTCTACACCTGTCCTGGCTGTTGCAGCAGCTTGTTGTGGGCCCTCGGCTGCTGGGGGTCTTCATGGGTCTCTGCAGGCCCCAGACATGTCTCTTGGCTCCTGGCCCTCTCAGAATAGATTAGCCCCGGGGTAAAATAGAGCCAGACACAACCAGGTTGAAGCCAACCATGGAAGCCATGCCCATCATGTGATACCATCAGGGGCCTTAATACAATATAGTATTATTATATCTTGGCATTATGATCTAATTGTGATCATTGAAAGATTTCATTAACAGTTTGGCACTCTGATAGTTGGTCTCTTCTTATGAATCTTTTGAGAGTATGTGTACACCATGTAAAGTTGGGTTATTTGAGGACAGGACACATGGTGTCTGAAATGTTCAGCAGAATGTACCTGCTGTCACATCCACTTTGCCTGTTCTTCACACCACAGCCCTGCAGAGCCGAGAGCAGAAAATACTTCAGTGCCATCGCAGGCCATATGTGGTGTAACCCTATCATTTTGGGTCATAGAGACTTTAAACATGTTTCAAAAGAACATTATCCGGAAAAAAACCCAAGGTTTTGTGCCTTACTCAAGAGCTCATCTTGTGGGTTTTCAACCTGCAACCATTTAGTGACTAGTGCAGATATTTGACCCCTGGACTGCTGATTCATACAATAGAGTACACTGAAACAAAACAAGGTTTAAAAAATGTTCTATCAGAAATTGCTAGTAAATTTCCCAAATAATTGCAAAGAAATGGCAAGTAAAGGCTGATTCACACTGCACTGACAGACTAACGCTGACAGTTTTACAGTCAAATGCCGATTCAACATGTTTAATCAGCGAAAACAAGCGCTGACTAACACCAACAGACACCGACAAAGGGTAACACACTGATCCGACAAAACCTGACGAATGTGTGTGTTGCCACTATTTGGCCTTAAAGGGTCAGTTCACCCAAAAATTATATAAATTAAATTGTCATTAATTACTCACCCTCATGTCGTTCATCTTTGAAACACAAAATAAGATATTTTTGATGAAATCCGAGAGCTTTCTGACCTCCCATAGGCTTCAGAGTTATTACCACTTTCAAGGCCCAGAAAGGTAGTAAAGACATCGTTAAAGTCTGTGGTTCAACCTTAAGGTTATAAGGCGACGAGAATACTTTTTGTGAGCAAAAAAACACAAAAAATAACGACTTTATTCAACAATCACTCTTCTGTGTCAGTCTCTGGCGCTGTTCACGTGAGCACCACGACTCATGCGTGTGATGCTGACGCGTGTGATGCCGGCCGATAATGAGCCGTCGTTCTGACGTATAACCCGGAAGCACTGCACTGTGTTTACAACATTAAACAAAGACTGACATGAAATATAATGAAGTCGTTATTTTTGTTTGTTTTTTTGCTCACAAAAATGATTCTCGCACTTAGCATAGTGGGTAAATCTTATCAAAATGCACAGTTGTTCAGCTCTTTGTGCTCTCCTACAACATTAACTTTGTAGATCTACAGGCTTATGCTTTTGCAGGGACTTATTGACGTTTAATTCTAATGGACTAATTGATTTTAATTAACTTTAATGGAGGTTTGCGATTTGTTAATTGTGATTTTAATCACTTGGTCTGCTGGTCAGTGGAATTATTAGCTGTTGATGCAAATTGCCACTCTTGTCAAACCTCAGCTGATAAACTAAGAGTCCAGATTTTCATAACTAACAGTGTTTTTGCCTTTGCTGTTAGTGTCCTTGTTTAGTTGTTGTTCATTATCTCTCATTTATGTCGCATGTGCCTTTATAGATATCGATTTTTAAAATATCTTTATAAGAAGTCTCACCAAGGCTGAAATGATTTGATTTAGATTGAAACAGCAATATTGTGAAATATTATTATAATTTCAAATAACCGTTTTCTATTTTAATATCTTTTAAAATGTAATGTATGCCTCTGATGGGAAAGCCTAATTTTCAGCATCATTACTCCAGTCTTCAGTGTCACAAGATCCTTCAGAAATCATTCTAATATGATGATTTGCTGCTCAAGAAACAATTATTATTATTATCAGTGCTGAAAACAGCTGCTTCATATTTTCGCGGAAACATCAACAGCAAAAAAATCAGGAGATGCTAATGCATATAATATATTTTTTAAGGAATTATTAGGCTTATCAACAGCTTCCTATATCTTTTGTTGTTAATGTCAAAGACTGCATGTCCAATCAAACTCAAAGGATAAGGATATAAAAATAAATGAAAATGAGTAAATAGAAAAGAAAAGTAAGCAAATAATGCATTGTAATCAGTAAGGTACAGTTCAGGGTAGTGCTTAGTCAGAGACTGCACAGGTCAAAAAATCTGCTTACAGTGTGAACTTGAATTTGGCTACTGTTGACATCTTCCGGAATCTTATTTTTCCAGTCAGGCAGGGGGAGGAAGGGAGGTCTTCATGCTTGATTACTAATAAAAATTTGCCGGGAGTATCAACTCAGGGGGCTGATGTTGCCGAAGTGACTGAGCCAAAATAGCTAATCTTCACAGTCGCAGTTTCAAGCACTTAGTTTCTCAGTTGTCTGTGAAATAAGCTACTCCATTTCCCTGCTCTCTCTCTCTCTCTCTCTCTCTCTCTCTCTCTCTCTCTCTCTCTCTCTCTCTCTCTCTCTCTCTCTCTCTCTCTCTCTCTCTCTCTCTCTCTCTCTCTCTCTCTCTCTCTCTCTCTCTCTCTCTCTCTCTCTCTCTCTCTTTCACACTTACACACACACACACACACACACACACACACACACACACACACACACACACACACACACACACACACACACACACTTCCCTGCACTCTGCCCCCTAATAGTGAACATTTTAATCACTTATTTAGGTGGGTGTGCTCTTAAGTCAAGTCAAGGGATCATCTCTTATGTAGTCCACTTAAAAGTAGCTTATTCAAAAATGACATTTCTGTCATTATTTATTTAAATGTAATAACAAACCCATATGACTAACTGACTTCTATGGAACACAAAAGGCACATTTATGAAGAGCCCACTGTCCACTCTTTTCAACATGTATCACTTATAAATGAATATATAGTGAAATCTTCTGATGGCCGGCTTTGTTTTACCTCTCAGGATGTGGAGATCCGAACAAATGCAGCGCTGTACCTCCCTCAGATCAGTGAGCTGCTGAACAGGGTTCCCCGACAGATGCTGCTGCTTCTGAAAACCAACGACCTGCTGAGAGGCATCGAGACCATCCTGCAGACCAGAGCCAGTTCCAGCTCCTTTATCAATATGTCCCGCTGCTGTACCCGTGCCATTGCCAGGTAAAAGGCACAGCAAAGTGCTTGCTTTTTCATTTCTCGTACAAGCCTGTGTATAAATCTCCATTCAAACGTTTGGGAAGATTTTATTTTTTAATGAATGCTTGGTAACGCTTTAGATTACAGCCCGGAAAGTACTGTGTAATTAAGAGGAATTTACAGAGTAACTTTCGGTAATTATAGTGTACCTATAAAGTACTTGCATAAAAGAGAACAATATGTAAAGTTTGGGGAATAAAGGGGTAACAACCAGGAGAATTAAAAAAATATGTATACTGTAAGTATTATAGAACTAAGGGGTACTTATTCTACTATTATGATACAACAATCTTACATTTGGGAGCAATTTAGCAAGAACATACACTGCGTACCTTTTTGTAATAATTGTTTACCAATACATACTGTATAGGCTTTTTTTTTTAAATCACAGGGTACATATCTATGCATTTATACTTTTTTTTTTTTTTTTGGATCGCAAAAATGCAGATGTTTAAGTTTGGGCTTACATGTTTCAAGGCAAGAAAAGCTAAGACTATTGCAATTTTCTTAAATACTGGGAAATATATCTTGTTTCATGTGGTTACAGGGTAAGTGGTGCTTGTATAATAAATAAAGGTTTCCGAGTCAGTGATATAAGATTGTGTATGCATTTTTATTGTACTTACCCTGTAACTACATGGAACAAGGGGGTACAAGCACCACTACATGAAACAAAAGTATCTTTCCCCAATATTTAAGCAAATGTTGCAATAGTTTTCATTTTCAGTGCACTTTTGTTAAAAAGATTACTTTATAAATGCATAGATATATACCCTGTAATTTTTAAAAAGCTTATACAGAATGTACTGGTTCACCATTATTTCAAAAATGTACACAGTGTATGTTCTTGCTAAATTGCTCCTAAATGTAAGACTGTTATATCATAATAGTAGAATAAGTACCCCTTAGTTCTATAATACTTATAGTATAAATCATTTTTTAATTCTCCTGGTTGTTACCCCTTTATTCCCCAAACTTAAAAAATTGTTCCCTTAGACTTATATTGTAAGTACTTTATAGGTACACACTATAATTACAGAAGGTTACGCTGTAAAATTGCTTTAATTACGCAGTACTTTCCGGGCTGTAATCTAAAGCGTTACCGAATGCTTTTATTCAGCAAGGATGCATGAAACTGTCAAAAGTGACAGTAAAGACATATACATTACTACACATTTTTTAAACTTTCTATTCATGAAAGAATCCTAAAAAAAAAATGCACAAAAAGCAGCACAATTGCTTTCACCATTGATAATAATAAGAAATGTTTATTGAGCAGCAAATCGTCATATTAGAATGATTCTTAAGGATCATGTGACTCTGAAGACTGGAGTAATGATGCAGAAAATTCCGCTTTGCCATCACAGGAATAAATGAAATTCTAAAAAATATTAAAATAGAAAAAAGTGATTTTAAATAGCAAAAATATTTCACAATATTACTGTTTTTACTGTATTTTTGATCAAATAAATTCAGCCTCGGTGAGCATAAGAGACTTCTTTGTCCATGTTTACTGCAGCATTACTTGAATAGTCACATGGTAAGAGTTTCAGCACCTGAACAAAACCTGATCCCACACATTAGGAGTCTGTCTGCTGTTAAACGCCTCATTCTCTCTGTTCAGTGGGCTCTCATTGGCTCCTCTCTGGGTGTCTGCTCTGGAGCTCAAGTCCCTGGTGTCATCTCAGTGCTCAAAGACAGTGTCATCTCTCTCACACCAGTAACCCACAGACACTATCCCACGCACCGCAGGAGCTCTCGTTCACTTAAGCGGACTCTGTGGGACCTCACAAAGCATTTAAATGCACTCTCACACACACGCATACGACTTAGCAGCCACTCAGTCCAGCCTCCCCCACCCTGAAATGCAAGTGGGTGAATGAATGTCACTATATTGTACTATATTGTACTTTCCACAGCAGTGAGCAGTGATCATATTGATTTATTCTCACCATTCTAATGAAGAACATGATGATTGGAGGAGAAAATCGTTTGGATTTGAAGGAGGAATCCTGACGGTTGTCAGCGGAGAGACGCTCACGTCTGCTCGTAAAGGATTTCGGTGCGATACAGAAAGAAAAAAGCACCCAGACATGAAACTCAATGTTGTCTGCCTCAACGCCTTTTTATTAAAACCAAATGGCAGCAAAGTGCAGAATGCAGAATCTAAAATCCATTACCAATTGCTGTGCTCACAGACACAGCAGAAAGAGAAAGACAGACCTAGAGAAGGAACCGGACCATCGCACACTGATTTAGTTTGATGTGTGCAGAAATGTTTGCAGTATCATCTATTACACTGAGTTAGGTTTTCATAATACAAGCTGTACGAATAGTTAATCCAAAAATGAAAATTCTGTCATAATTCACTCACCCTCAAACCTTTAAGGCTTTCTTTCTTTTCTCTGTGGAACACAAAAGTATACTTTTTTTTTTAAAGAGGACCTATTATGTTTTTTTTTTTTTTCATTTTCAACTTTAGTCAAAGATCTACCAGATGAACAGGATTTTAGGATGTATGTTCAGGGTTTGATACGTGCCTTAATGCCTCTGCTTCTGCTCTTCTAGTTTTCAGGTTTCGGACACAGCTTTGTCTGATTGGCTGCATATGCAAGGTGTAATGAAAAACAAGGAGGACTGGAAGTGCATGCTGAGTTCACTCTTTCTGTCGCTCTCTGTCTGCTTGCAGGGACCGACAGACTGAAAGGCCTCTCGCTGACCTGGGTTAATAATTCAGCTCCCGCTCAGCTGTGACTACATCCACTATGTCTCTGAAATATTCATTATGGATGATATAAGAGCCAACAAGTTATGTAATATTAACTGTAACTGTAAATATCTACACCCAGGATCCAAAATTAACTGTAGGTTTTACACTACAGTTCAAAAGCAAGGATGCATCAAATTGATCAAAAGTGACACTAATGAAATGTATAATGTTACAAAATTACGATTAAAAATAAATGCTGTTCTTTTGAACTTTATATTCATCAAAGGATCCTGAAAAAACTTGCATTACGAATCATGGTTTTCACAAAGAAAAATGTTTTTCAACATTGATAAGCCTTTCTTGAGCAGAAAATCAGCATATTGAATGATTTCTGAAGAATCATGTGACACTGAAGACTGGAGTAATGATGCTGAGAATACAGCTTTGCCATCATAGGAATAAATTACATTTTAAACTAGATAGATAGATAGATAGATAGATAGATAGATAGATAGATAGATAGATAGATAGATAGATAGATAGATAGATAGATAGATAGATAGATAGATAGATAGATAGATAGATAGATAGATAGATAGATAGATATTTTCTTTACGTATTAGATTGTTGTTGGCATGTTTCTAGAATGAATTAGCACATTGCTAGCATTTTTTTAGCATGATTTTATACTGCTAGAATGTACATTGTTAGCATGTTTCTAAACATCTATTTTCAATTATAATATTTCACAATATTACTCTTTCTACTGTATTTTTGATCAAATAGTTCAGCCTGGGTGAGCTTAATAGACTTTAAAAAAACATGAAAAAAAAATATTTATACATTTTTAAAAATGAATATTATTTTTTTGTTTAATTATGCAAAATCTACTTCTATGAAATATTTTGGCCTATATGTTTTCTTAGTTCAGTTCACCAATTGGCAGGTTTTGCTAAATCCTTTGGACCTGTGTGCCGAGCATGCAACAAGTTACTGTTGGCAAAGTAGGACGAGTGACAATTGGTGACTGACTCCTGGGTTCCCATCAGTCCCTGCTTTCTGTCTTCAGCCTGTATTCTGCTCATGCTGTCGGTGTGCTCCTGTCAGATGGAGCACAGTGTGACATCTCCAGTCTGACACAGCCGCTATGGTCTGAAATGTCAAACTTGTCCAACCAAAAAAAAAGCTTCGTAGAGTTTGAATGCTCACGAAATTAGAGTGAATTTCACCGTCACCCTTATCTTATTTCTCGCTCTCCTCATCGGGAACATGTAAGAAAATTCATGCAATTTCACTTACTGTTTGTCAGTTGAAAGCTGTTCGCTGTGAACATGTCAGATGCATTTAGGAGAGCGGAGTAATCATTGTTTTCACCCCAAGGATATCCCACTGACTACAGTCTCTCTCTCTCTCTCTCTCTCTATCTCTCTCTATATATATATATTACATGACTTAGTGTGGTCTGTCTAAAGTCCCTCACTTGTACCATGAGGCCTGAGCCAACACAGTCTGAATCATTTACAGCCCACTTACTTCAACCAATGTAATCTCACCTTTCCTCTTCTGGTTCTTCGCCTCACTCTTCTGTCTTTCTTTGTGTCTCTGTGCCTCTCTATTAGGCACAAGAGGAATAAAAGCAAGTCTCGGAGCAGGCGGCTGCGGATCTCGCTGTCTGAGTGTTGGTCTCTGTGCCAGATAGACCTGTATGAACTGGTGTTGTGGCTCCGCAGCTCCACGCTGGTCAGATGGGTCTGCTACCTCTTCAGCTGCCTGCCGTGTCCAAACTGAGAGGCTTGAACCACGCCATAACGCCCTCTGCATTGAACTCCGCACTCTGCCAAGTGCATTATGGGTTGATCATGGACCGTTTTTAATGAATGCTGGAAGTAAAGCAAACAAATGAAAGTAAAATCATCGTTTTTTAACTATTAAAAGAAAAGGTCACTGAAAAGCCACTGATCACATGATTAACCAGTCATGTTAGTGCAGTATGTGTTAGAGCAAATGCTCCGTGCATGATTATTCTTCTTCATAGTATCTAACTGATGTTTTTCACAGTAGTGTTAGTTTGGATTATGCAATACCTCAGACTTGTGACATCGACGTGTGCACGTCACGTCTCAGCAGAATTTTATGGAATCCTTTATTTTACATTCCTTCAGATTTCCTTTTCCGATTTGGTTGCCAAAATCCTCTCAAACGTTTTAATGTAAAAGTTGTGGCATAACAAACTATTTTTTATTTATTTTAGTAAGCAATAAAATTGTGGTTTATTTTTTGTGCTGGATCAATAAATAAGTTTTAATGCTTTATTTTTTTTGTGTTCAGCAGGTTTCCTTCTCTTTTTTTTACTGTGGTAAATTCCATTCACATTAAATTAATTAATCAGTGAATTAAAATAATATGGTGTTCCAAAACCGTATGACTTTATTTTTCCATGGAACACAATAGGTGACATTTTGAATAACCTTCATGCAGATCATTTCTTTACAAAGAAAAGCATATGGTGACCAGGGACCGTCAGGGTAAAAAAAAAAAAAAGTATAAAAATAATCCACATGTTTTGTTTGCTATATTCTAATCAGTGTGTAGTATCATTGGTATACTATTATATATTTTGTGGATATTTTGAAATGTTTTTTCTTTTTTTTTGAAGAGCTACTATATATATATATATATATATATATATATATTAGTATGGGAGTGTGATGCTCTGAGCAATGTTCTGCTGAGAAACCTTGGGTCCAGCCATTCTTGTGGACATAGATTTGACATGTGCAACCCTAAACCAGGTACAACCCTTCATGGCAATGGTGTTCCCTGGTGGAAGTGGCATCATTCACCAGGATAATGCACCCTGCCACACTGCACACATTGTTCAGGAATGGTTTGAAGAACATGATGAAGAGTTCAAGATGTTGTTCTGGCCTTTAAATTCCCCAGATCTGACTCCAAATGAGCATCTGTGGGATTTTCTTGACCGACTATTTCAATCCACAGCCAGTCATTTCTCTATCCAGAGGGCATGTTTTGGTTCAATTACACCCTGCTCTTCCCTTCCAGGTTAGCTTTTTTTTTTTTTAGGTTAGACCCCATTGGAGGCCCAACAAGAAACAGAGATACACAGCTTCCCACAGCCTGGAGGCAGCAGCCAGGGAGTCCAAACCCAGCCATACTAATGCCCTCAGGCTAGAGAGCAGATTCTGTCTGCCAAGCATGGGATGATGGACGCAGTTATCTGCTCAACAAGTCTCTTCTACAGCGCGCTCCGCTCAAGCTGCACAGCTGAAACCAAATTGCTGAATCCCAGCTTCACCATCCACAATAATGTGTCATTTACTGTGTCCACAGTTAATCCTGTCAGGCACAAACTGCAACTAGGAACCGTGCAAACGTGTAATTATTCATGTCTGCGGATGGGGTGTACTCAAATTACGTAAGTGCTCTATTACATTTTTCTGTCACCTTATATTAGATCTTTACAATCTCTGTTGTTTTATCCTTTTATATCTGATATGTTATTGTTTGTCGTGTGTGTGTGTGTGTGTGTATACACACAGACACACATGTTATGTTTGATCAAATCTTGTCATGTCTTTCTAGAAATTTTCTTAAAACAAAGTGCATTCTTAATATGTTATAAATCATTATTTTCTTCTCATATCTTCGCCAGTATTATGTTTTAATGAAATTGCTCAATTGTTGCGCTTTTAAGCTCCTCTTTGTATCATTATAAACATTTTCATCTGTAGTTTCGTTGACAAAATGAACAATGTTTCTGAGGAATTACGCTGTTATCATCTTTTGTTTCTAACACGAGAAACTGATGTACTGTTGTCTCAATCCCTCCTCCTCCTCCTCTGCTTATGCTTTCCATCTCCTGAGTCAGAATTGGAAAATCTCTCTCTGCTGAGTCAGAAATGGACAATGGCTGCTTTTTCCTTATCACTTTCTTTCCATCTCTTAATTAGACTCGACCTCTATAGGCAAACCCAGAGCCAACGTTAAGCCTGTGTCTGCCCAGAATAAAAAAATCCATCCATCTTGATCAAAAAGCTGAGGCTGGAGCTGCCAAATGTAATCACTCTGGTAATAGGTCTGAAGCCTCCAGTGGGTACAAAAAGACGCCCAGCATTGCTGTAAGGTGACCGGAGAAGTAGAAGTTCAGCTTCAGGTGTGTCTTTTTGGTTTACCTTCAGTAAGGTTTGCAAATGTATACTGTAACAAGCAAACGCTGGCATTTAGTATATCACTATATAGATTTTTTTCATTTTTTAAAAAATGACCAAAAAATAAACAGCGTAATTTCTAAAATTAAATTACTAATACCAAAATTTAAAAAAAAAAAGAAGAAAAAAAAAGTGCATAAACCATATTGACTATACATGGCGCTTTTTTTTTTTTGTCAGTGAGGCTTCATCATCATCTTGTGCAAATATATATTTTTTTAAATACAAATAAAACGTGTGAAAAAAAAGAAGAATGGTGGACTGATGTCATGTGTCAAGTTATTATAGTATACGCGGATTTGTTTCTGGGGTTTAGTGAGGAGAAGAAATAAGGCATAGGAAGTAAATTAAATGTCACAATCAATTGCCCCACATTGCAGAATGTAATCCCTTTACTTCCCTACGGATGAATGAAGTGGTAGTACACTTACACCACTGTACCTGATGCTGCTTTTATCTACTGCAAATATGGAGATTTCCTCACAGCCAGCATAAAAATTGTGTCCACCTTGAGTACCCGTTTTACGTAGTGTTGTGAAGTCTTTGTACTAAAGTGCCGTGGATTTGCATTAACCAAAAGTCTTTTTTTTATCCTACACTACCAAAACATCACACTCGTGACATGCTCCTTAGTTTTGTCATGTCTGTCCAAAATTTGTATTTATTTATGTCTATCTGTACATATACAGTTTACAGTCAAAAGTTTACATACACCTTGCACAATCTGCAAAATGATTTAATTGACAAAATAAGAAGGATCATAAAAAATACACGCTATTTTTTTAATGTACTGTCCTGAATAAGATTTCTAACATAACAGATCGTTATAGTCCACAAGACAAAATAATAGCTTATAATATTTATAAAAATGATCCTGTTCAAAAGCTTGATTCTGTTGAAACTGTTGTTGGATGATCTGTGTGTCCTTTTAAAAAATCCTCTAGATCATGCAAATTACTTGTTTTCCAGCATCTTTTGCAAATATGAACCCTTTCAGTGATTTTGCAGAATCGGCAAGGTGTATGTATTTTGTATTTTGACCTTGACCTTGCTCTTATGCCAGACTGAAGCTGGACTGCTCCTAAATGCTCAGGTGTTTGTATCACTGCATTGCTGTTAACCTGCTTAATTCCTGTTATGGATTAGAGGATGGATCAGGGCCAACCTGAAATGGGACATCCATATTTGGCAGCCTTTGCTTGTATTATCAGGAGTTAAAGCCGTTGTGTAGTATCAATATAAATACATTTATGAGAAAGCCTTAATGTACATTTTGTAACATTTTTATGTTTTTTTTTCTTCTCAGTTCATCCAACAATTTGGAAAGAGACATTTTGTGTCTCAATGAGGGTGTAGTTTACTTGAGAAAATCACTTTTAAATCATCTGCTTCATAGGAAAAGGAAAGCACACTTGCATGGCTGGTATTCCTGACATTTTTAGGTTGGGCCGAGACACAGTGGTTTAAGCGTGGCTATAGATTTAAGAGGAACGGCAGCCATGAAAGACATTTTTAATCTGCTAATGGAAAATCACATTACATTTTTTCCCTCCAATTTGGCTCTTCTTTAGTGCAATATTATAGATTCTGGATTGCAATGCAGGCTTGGATGGAGCCACTTTTCTTCTGGCTGTCCGCATGGTAAAACTCAGCATTTGAGATGGAGATTACTGCTCTCCCAAAGAATAATTTTCCCCTGGGATTATCTTCATTTGCTCTTATGCAGCCTTAACTTTTCTCATCGCAAACTATTATTCCATCAGGTGAGGTTGGTGTGTGTGTGTGTGTGTGTGTGTGTGTTTGTGTGTGTTACCCGAGGGGATCCATAGTCCCTCTGAATGTTTCAGATGTCAGATATCTTTTATATGGGGTTCCCAAGGAAACTCTGGGAGGAAGATATTCATGTAATCCTGCCAGTCACAATGCTCCAGGTAAAGAAAACACTGCTTACCTCACTGCACTCTTCCAATCCGTCTCCGCATATTTCCGTAGTTTATGTTGTTAGGAATGTTTATATATATATATATATATATGTGTGTGTGTGTGTGTGTGTGTGTGTGTGTGTGTGTGTGTGTGTGTGTGTGTGTGTGTGTGTGTGTGTGTGTGTGTGTGTGTGTGTGTGTGTGTGTGTGTGTGTGTGTGTGTGTGTGTGTGTGTGTGTGTATAGTACTGCTGTCAAATCAATAAATATGATTAATCACATCTATAAAAGTTTGTAAATGTATATTCTGTGTGTGTATACACATACACACGCACAAACGTTTACATTAGATGTGGTTAATCGAATTGACACCACTAATGTATAGTCTACAATTTTATCATTATTATTATTATAACTTTAATTTGACCAAGACAATAAAGATCTGTAATAGGGACAGGCTATATGACGAAAAATATTATATAAATAATGTTATTTCACGATAATGATATATATCACAATATACTGTAGTTATTTTTGCTTTAAATAAAGTTTTTATTTGAATATTTTTGATACCATGGAAATTTCAAAAATCTCATCATCACCGATTTCAATATCACAAAAAAAAAAACTAATACTAACATAACTTAAAAGGTTAGGTTAGGTTAAAAAAAAACTGTCAAGCTCACTGAAGACAAGTAAACAGTCAGAGATAAATTAGTAAAATATGAACAAAGAAACTAATTACAAACAATAGGTTAAAAAAACTACAATAGAACAGACACAAATGAATTAAACCTACCTTAAAAACGTTAAGCACTAGAAATAAAATAAAACTATAGAACAAATGAAATAGACCTACCTGAAAAACTTCAAGCACTAGGCCTATATAGAAATACTACATAAATTGAATAAAGTAATCAAATGTACAAAA